TAATCATAACCAGGTCTAGAAATAGACAAATCACATACCTTTTAAGTATAATTGTTATATATAATAAAATACAGCAGTTTTATTTTTAAAAACACAGTTACACCAATTGGGGAAACCTGCTCGAGAAGAGACTCCGTCCCATGCATGAGCTTCTTTCTGTAAACATGTTGGAATAGAATAAGGTAAAAAAGTTGATGGAATAGTGCTTAAATGGGAATCATTAAAATTTGCTAAAGAAACAAAAGATAAAGTCCCAGGATCTTGACTAATGGTTGGTGAATGGGTAGTTGGCTCGCCAGCACCAGATTGAGAATCTGTAATTCTAGGAGAATCGGTTAACAACGTTGTATAACCTGTAGAAAAACAATGATTAATAGGAGGAACATTAGGAGAAGAGAAATATTAAAGGCATTTTCTCAGTGGAAGCTGAAAAATTAAAAGGTTGTGAAAAATGAGGCTTTTCATAAATATTAGGATCTCCACCTAAGAGGCGAGAATGGTTAGTTGTTACTTTTATTTCTTCCTGGTTCCAGGAAGCCAAAGGGAACAAAGGAGAGAGAGAGAGAGTTAGGGTTTGTTTTAAAATAAGGATATTGCAAAAACCTATAACATTTTAAATTAATTTATTGATTAATTTTTGTTGTTTTGACCTTGGTGAACAATTTCACAAACCCATTAGTTTTTTTATTAAAATTTTGGATCTTCAGTTTAAAGCTAGAAACTTAAAGTTTGTCAGGAAACTGTACCTATTAAAGTTTTTTTATAAAATATTTTAAAACATAACATTTTAAAATTATAATTGAACCAAAATTATGACTGGTAACAGTTATATTAAAAACAGATATTTAAAAACCTTACAAAATGTTGGAACACATATCCACAACACCTTCAGTATTAATAATGCTTTCCCACATAGTCAAATTTATTAAATAAGCCAAATTATTTTGATACATCTTTTAGATATCCTTTGAGAAACTCCAGGGCCCTTGGAATTTCCCAAAGTTATTTTAAAGTTTCAGAATTTAATGTTGGAGAGCTGCGTTAAATAACAAAAGGCTTAGAACATTTAATTGAATAAAATCATAAATTATTGCAGAAAATAAAACCAAACTGACAAAGGGTTTGAAAGGCAAAGAGCACAAGAACTTATCATGATAAAACATGAAATAAGATCCCTGGGCCAGTTATCTAAAAGACAAAGCAAAACCTTTTACGATTTTGTAGTAAGAGCACTCAAGTGTCTCTCTCTCTCTCTCTGTCTCTCTCTTTACTGTAAAACCTTTTTAACAAACTTATTTACCTAAACCATTATCAAGACTTACTCAGACATTCTGTTTTTGTTCTATACTTTTTGTTTTTTAAAATGCCAGTCATTTTACTCTGCGACAAAAATACACTGTACCAGATGCTTTCTTACATAAAAATTATTATTATTATTATTATTTTTAGCCCCTCCAACCATAACCATACCCCGCATCCATAGCCTTCTTTAAATCACCTCCTTTTTACATACTTGTTTCTTTTTTATCGATGTTCAATTGGCATAATTTGTTTAAAAATTACATATAAAGGGTATATATATATATACACATACTTAGTTTTGTTTTTGGTTTTGGTGGGGTTAACAATTTAAAAGCCTCTAGCAAAGACAAATGTAGTCCTGTTTGTTTAGTAAACCCAGGCAACAATGTTTGTTGATAAGAGAATTTTTATACCTTCAGGTTAGTAAATAAGCATCCATTTATTAGAGCAAATTATACAAAGCCCAGTGTGAGTTTTAGTTAAATTTAGCAAATACATATTTATGGTTTCTCAGCCAAAAACTTGGTGTATTAGATTTATACCCTTGTCATTTAGTGCTAAGACTTATGCGATATTTGGCGTAAGTTCCCTTTCATTAGCCATTTTGGGTCCCAGGTTTCCACGTGCCATTTGAAGCCATGTGGAATGTAGAGAGGCAGAGGGCAATATTCACTATCTATGTCTCTAAAAGATATTG